GTTAAAAACTTACATTATGATAGGGGACTGTATCTCCAGTATAACGTTCATGTTTAAAACTTACATTATGATAAGGGACTGTATCTCCAGTATAACCTTCATGTATAAAACTTACATTATGATAGGGGACTGTATCTCCAGTATAACGTTCATGTATAAAACTTACATTATGATAGGGGACTGTATCTCCAGTATAACCTTCATGTATAAAACTTACATTATGATAGGGGACTGTATCTCCAGTATAACGTTCATGTATAAAACTTACATTATGATAGGGGACAGTATCTCCAGTATAACCTTCATGTATAAAACTTACATTATGATAGGGGACTGTATCTCCAGTATAACGTTCATGTATAAAACTTACATTATGATAGGGGACTGTATCTCCAGTATAACCTTCATGTATAAAACTTACATTATGATAGGGGACTGTATCTCCAGTATAACGTTCATGTATAAAACTTACATTATGATAAGGGACTGTATCTCCAGTATAACGTTCATGTATATACCTCTCTACTAAACATGTTTTACCAGCGTACGATTTCCCCAATAAAACAACCTTCACATCCACTTTACTACCACTCATTATCAACTTTCATTGGTTCTTCTAAAATATTAACAACTCAAATTATAAACTTTCATCGGTTAAACATCAACTTTCATTGGTTCATTCAGAAATCCGTCATGGACAGACTTAAAGTTTCTGTTCTGAATGTTTTTAGATTTGCGATACTTGCTTTGGTCCAAGATTCATTCAATTGTGGCTAATAACCATAAACAATAATGAGAAATGTGTTTTTTCACCATTATATTCAAAGATTGAGTTGCTGGTTTAGATCTGAACGATCATCCTTTCATACTTTTGCACATCAATACTTGGTCTTTCCAAGGGTAAACACAGTGATATCTTGAATAGGAATATGAATAGCCATTAAGATATGTAGTCCGAAACATCTGCCTCTATTCCAGCCTCTGATGGATATTTTGACAGTTGTCGGTTGGAGTAGAGTCAGAAGAAAAAGGCCCTGTTAAATAGGTATTTTCCAGAGATGCGTTTTTTCTAACATAATATTAAATCACCTTTACAATGACTCTAAATAAGTGTCGGACATTAGCGTGACATGACATCAGACATGGGACAATTTCTTGTGTTGAAGTCCATCATTTTCATTATACTACAGTGCATCAGGCTATCAAGTGATAAGATATTAAAGAAAAACATTAAAAAGTGAACCCTGAACTCTATTTGAGGCCCATTTAATTTAAATAACCTATCCTAATCAAGTTGTATCCAATTTCAAAACAAAAGCCTAAGTCATAAGTATTCACAGAATGAGAATCGTTCCTCGACTGCACCATACTG